CTAGGCTTGATCCCAGCACTCTGAATCAGAAACACTGGAGATGGGGTTTTCCAGATGATTCTGATGCCCACCAGAGGTTTTGAATCCCTGGACTAGGGAGGAAAAAAAGAAAGATGAAGGCAAGAAATGGCAAGCATATATATATATTTACATAGATCTTATATGTATGAGGGGACTTCAAGGAGTTAACAGAAAATTTCCATTTTTCTAATTCCACTTTTCCACAAATGTTTGAAGCCACCTCCAATTGTGTCTGTTCCCATGCTCCCACTCACACACACACTGCGAGGTTCAAAGGGAAAAGCAACTAGGGAATACACAAACCTTAAAAGAAAGAAAAGCCACTGAAATTTTGCCAGGCCCGAAAGGTGTCACAGCACAGGCCCCTACTTCTCTGCTGTTGTTGCTTTGCTTTATCAATGTGGCTCCTAAAGATAAACTCCCAGTAAATAACCTTTTCATATAGAAATTTAACAAAATTATTTATAATACAAAGTCTCTAAAGTCATCTTAAAATAATTGAGATTTTCCTACCTGGTTTTTTTTTTAAGTTTTGAATAAAACCTGAGTCCATTTTTTAAGAGCAGTAATCTATCTAGAATGATCAACTGAAGATCAAGATGGGCCCAAGAAACTCCTGAAGTTGTACACAAAGTTCCTGTATGTGTGAATGTTTTTGGTGGCAATAGGACACATGAAAGGTAGAGACAGGGACATTTGGTCTATGGCTTCTAACTGATTTTCAGAGGGGAACTGAAGCTTCCCAAAGAATTAGGAATTGTTGGCCTATGTGTTAATTTACAATTAGCAACTCAGGCAGGTTATCAGAGTGAAAGAGTAAATGCTTGGGCTGTGGGGCAAGCAAGCAAGGTTCAAATCCCAGCTGAGCCACGGACTGTGACTTTAATTTACTTAAAGTTCCTCATCTCTCTGTCCTGTCTCCAAAGATTGTAGGAAATGGGATAATGCATGTAAAACACTTACCACAGTCTGGCTTATAAAACTCAAAACTCACTGCTGTCAAGTCTGACTCATAGCAACCTTATAGGACAGTAAAAATGCTCCTTTGGGTTTCTGAGGCTGTAATTCTTTCTGGGAGCAGAAACCCTCATGTTTCAAACTGCAGACCTTGTGGTTAATGCATAATGCATGCAATAAATAGTAGTTGTTGTTATTATAATAATACCACTCTCTCTATATGTATATACATATATATGAAACTAGGTACATAATCCTTATTAATCTCTCTGTTTAACTGGTATTTGACCATTTTTACAACTCAAAATGGATACACTTCAAGTTCTTACTGTGGGCTGTGAACACCCCAAGTAGCAAAGTCTGAATGATTGTAGACATTAAAGTTACCATATCTGTTCTTCTTTACCACTCTCCACTGCACAACACCAATAAAAGAACCAGTGCTAATAGCCAAAAGTGTCCCCTGTATTCAAACACTTTATGGCCTCTATACTCATTAGGTTGACTTTAGAAAGTAATCTGTGAGTTCTAGGCCAGTAACTACCATGACCGGTTTGGTGTAAGAGCTTACTTTCTTAAGGGACTTTATTCATTAGATGGCAATCTGAATTCATTCAACTAGAAAAAATATATTCTGTTACTTTTCCTACATCCTTGTGTATAACAAAAGTTAGCAGAGTACAGACTAGGGTCAAAAAGAAATTAGCCATCTTGAAATTATACATGTAAACCACACATACACGCGAGTGCACGCACGCACACACACACAAGTCTCTCCCTCTCAGTGAAAATAGACACTATATTACCAATTTTTTTTCCCCAGGGGAGAGCACGAACATTACCAATTTTTAGCAACTAATGCTCAAAAAGTAAGTCAGTGAAAGAATACCTCAAACTGCTTGACAGACTCCTTCCAAACAACTTTTAAACTAGAAATGAGTATGTGTATGCAAACTATACTTATTAAATAGTAACATTAGTGATATAAGGGAAAATACTCATCATTCCATCTCTTTAAGTGGACAAGCTTCAGAGGCACTTCCAGACTAAAATAGAATAGGAAAAAAGGTCTGGTGGTCTATTTCTGAACATTAGTCAATGGAAATCTCATGGATCACAACAGAACATTGTTTGACCTGTTCGTTTTGACCGACCACCAGGAGGGATCAACTGCTGGAGGAAGATGCTATTATTGGGGAAATAGCGGGCCAGAAAGGGTGAAGGATAGACAGGTACACGAGGCACAGTGATCAACTCCAGCATACCAGCAATCATGAGGATGGCTTTTCATTAATTGGTACATACAGTGTCTGTGTCCAGTCAGAGTATTTGGCTAATCCACATCTAAGAATAACTAATAATTCTGAGAAACTAATTTTAGTCCACTCTAGGTTACTATGAGTTGGAATCATACTATAGCAGTGGGGGGTTTTGAAAAGGTCGTGGAACTTGGAAAAGAGCTTACCTGTATCTAACAAACTCCTAAAGAAGACATAGATGATCAAGTCCACTCTAATTTAAAGCTGATAACTCACCACCATAAGTACATCAGAGGTTAGAAGCCATTTTAAGGGCTGCCTCTGCAATAAATAATAAATTAAAGGAAAAGAAAAATAGCCCGGTTAAGACTTTAAGCCAGTAGTCTTCAACCTCTGGTGCGCATCAGAATCACCAAAGGCTTTTCCAATACATAAGTGGCTTCAAGAATTCCATTTTCCAAAACCTTTTTGTATTTGCCCAGTAACCATTGAAGACCAGATAGTTAAGTTACTCTACTGTGGGGCCAAAGGGAAAGTTCTGCTTGGTCCTACGGAGTCCCTTCAGTCCAAATCAATTAGATGGTGGGGAGACCATGGAGTCACGCATATGTGCATGGAGGCTCTGGTGAACATTACAGCTTGATAAACATTCCCCTTGTTTCTGGCAACTTCATTATTTGGAAACACTAGTGTACACTTATTTTCCCCCAATACGATTATTTGGTTTCATCTTGCAAATGAAACCAGGCATGCACAAAGAGCATCACATTACATGCACAACAGGAGCAGCATCTGAAAGCTGTGGTCTTAACTCAGCAGAAAAGAGCACAACTGAGTCACAGGATTTGAGACCCTTCAATTTAATGAACACAAGAAAGATGACTGGAAGCCACTTTCTAAGTAGGGGTTTAGGAACATACTGAGGCTTTATGACATCAAGAATTGAACAAAGAAAGCCTACATCATCTGCCCTTCTAGGCATGTGATACAAGAGTGTTTTAGGAGGCTATTTTCCATTTACATCTTCAATAAATACCCCTTACGTTTAAAGGAAGATCCAGCAGTTCCCCAGAGCAACAAGGAAAGAATGCTTCAGTGTTTCTGAGCGGCCTCATTTGCCTGATGCATGACTGTTACAGGTACATTTCCCTATGACACCCTAAATCAGCTTTCACATTTGCATATTCCAGCTTTCCACCAGAATGTTCATCTTAAGAATCACAGGTGGTTGCTTAGTAAATCAAGGGTTCCCAGAAGATTAGATATCATAATGCTGCTTGAAATTTGCAGCTCCACTTTGCCAGCCTGTTTGAATGCTGACGACTCCAAGGTGGGTCCCAAAATTATAAATCTCACTATTGCAGAAGAGTGCTATTCTATTTTAGTACCTTTAACTCTTACTCTGTGTAAAGAAAAAAAATGCTATTTCTAAGCTTTCCGTTAAAAAGTCTAGCAAACATTGTAGCAGGTCTTCTTCTTGCAGTAAAACCAGTTTCAGAAAAACATCGAATGCTCTCCAGGCTAATTTAGACGAGCAGATTTACACTGCCTAACACAAACTAGCACAGTCCTTTCAGAATTACACGCAGGCACACACGCACAACCTCTGGCTAACGGATTCAAACTCGTGATTTAATTTGATCCACAGGCAAACTTCTGACAAATAACAGATCAATGACAGTTCTGAGGGTGTAAACAATGACAGGCAGGGGCAGTCTCTGGAATCCGTTCCACCCAGGTCCCAGTCCTTGCCTGGGTCGGGTCCACCTAGTGCGGGGACATTGGGCAAATTAGCCTAATCTCTCGGGGCCTCAATGTGCTCATCTGAGCAATGGAGGTCGTAGGAACCGCGGCCTGCGCGTCCCTTTGTCGTGAAGGAGAAAGACGATCGAGGGAACGCATTTTCACGATGTCCAGGGCACCGAGCACAGGGCTCCAGCAACGTTTGCTGCTGTTCTCAGTTAAGCGGGCCGCGACCGCTGCCCGAATTCAGCACACACCCAGCAAAACTCTGGAACAGGAATCACAAAGGAAGAGCTTTAATCTCCAGAGGTTTGTCGGGCTGCAAGCGCTTCGTCCCCCTCCGGTTCCTCAAATGAATGAATGAGCGCCCAGGAGCCGCTCGGCAAATCGCTCTCCCAAGAATCTTCCCTGCTGAAGGTAACTGTCTTTCAACGTCAATTAAGCACCCACAAGTACACCCGGAGCGAAGACACTCCACTCATGCAAATGTGAGGGGCGACACCGAGTCCCCGGCGAGTCCCCGATGCCCACAGGCAGCGTCCATTCATTCCCCCCCTCGACCTCCGACCCGCCCCCCCAAGGCCTACCACCCCCTCGTATCCCTAGACCCCAGCCCTTCCGGGCCCGCCGGGGGTCTCGCCTCCGTCCTCCGCAAATGGCGAGAACCTGTCACCCCGCCCCCCCCCAAAAGCGAGGGGTTGATAAAGGGGCCCATCTCACCCCTGCCCTCATCACGGCGGCCCGGAGGTGCAGCTGTCCCCTCCGCTGCGAAGAAGCCGGCAAAGGGTCGGCCTGGCCTGCCTCTGCTCCCCAGGAGCCCGCCAGTTCCCGCAGGGCCCCGCCGGAGACAGCGCGTACTAACACCGAGGGGAAAGGTCCCCGAACCCCCTTTCTCCGCTTCCCTCCCCACCAAGAGAGCCGCTTCTCCCTCCACATACAGGATCCCAGAGTGGGGTCGGGGTGCCAGGGCTGCCCGGAAAAGCCCCTCTGAAAACGAGGGGGAGACACCCCCATACTCACCAACCGTCTCCTCCCCCTCAGCTGTTTACCTCACAGTTCCTCCAGCCTACAGGGCGCCGCCATCTTGACGTACAGCACCTCCCCCCGTCGTGAACTGTCTACGGTAGGTGGCAGCTTCCGCCACGAAAAAGAGTCCCCAGCGGGGCCTCGCCTCCTGCTCAAACCAAACAGTCGTTTGCAGCACTCAGTATCTCTATCGGACCAAAGAGGCCGTTGCACTTAGGGTTGACTATGCTATCTGGTCAAGAAAGAATCAAAAGGAGGTTTTTTTTAAGTTAGGGGGCGGAGTCAGGCGGAAGGATCCCAGAAACAGGCTTCTGAGAGATCTTGTGACTCCGAGGGAGGCAGAAAGAAGGACCGGCGCGGCGGGCGGAGCCAGGCGAAAACCCGGAGAGGCGGGGCAGAGCGGGACCACCACGTGACCGAGCTGAGCGGGACCACGTGACCGAGCTGAGCGGGAGGGGGCTGTGGAAGAGGAATTATTCCTGGGATAAACAAGTTCGCCTTGGCTGGGTGTGGTTGCTTTGCCTTTCTACCTTTGCTCCGTGCCGTTTCTTCTCTTCGCAGTCCCGGTGCCTCCAGGGACTCCCCGTGTGGGGTCACAGAGCTGTAACCTTATTTCCCAAAGAACCAAGGGGGTACACGTGGTGAAGGAGCTGTTTTTGAACCTTAGAGGAGTTGCACCTCACCTAGAAACAGAGTTAAAAGCTGGGCAAAGGCCCTTTCCTTTGCAAAATAGGTGCAATGGCCCCACTTCTGGGACACCTTGAAGAATCAAACTGGCTCCTGCCTTCCAATCACGATATCTATGGAAAATCAGAGGAGGCAGCTGCACAATCATAAAAGTTGTATTTCACGTCCTCTCTGCGCAGACCGGGACAAAGCTTCAAACCCTTACAGCCCCAGTTTCTTCCGCTTTGAAATGGACATGAGAACTTCCTTCAAGGAGGTGCCGAAGAAAGTACGGAATGTGCTCACTAGAGGTTGGCCCTTATGTGAAAGAGGATGTATTCATTATTAAGGAGTGCAAAGCCATTTAGGGAGAGGGGACAAGAGTGAGATGAAGTCAACAGTACCTGAAAGGCCTTTCCAACAAATGGGTACTACTGGACTGGGTTTTTCAGAAAAGTTGGGTCTTAACGGAAGAGGCATGGAGATGTGGTTGGAAAAAGGCAAGCATTCTAGACATCGGGACCTAATGTAAGGCAGCGGTGACTCCATGGGGAAAGCCGGCAGTGACACTAAAGGCGGGAGCACCTGAAGGCAAGAGCAATGCTGTGTGAGTACAGCACACCGCACAAACCTTTTGCATAAGGACAGCAAGTTTTGTCATGGGAACCAATTGGGTCACAATGCAAAGCAGCCTATGATGAGGAGCAAATGTGTGCGTGGCCAGCTTAGGGATGCTCTCAGAATTCTAAGATCCGACAAAGGTCCAGGACCTTTGTGAGAAACTAGAAACATTGGGCTGCTAACTATAAAGTCTGGAGCTCTGGTGGTGTATTTCGAATGCGTTGGGCTGCTGTCTGCATCATCAGCAGTTCAAAACCAGCAGCAGTTCCACGAGAGAAAGACTGGGCTTTCTACTCCAGTAAACCGATACAGTCTTAGAAATTCACAGGGGTTCACGATGAGTCAACATGGACTCTGATTTCTAAGGTAACCATGAGATCAGTGGCTCAGGGGTTCTAAACCACCAGGTATTTCTTGAGAGAAAGATGAGGCTGTTGCCTCTCCTAAAGATTTACAGGCTTAGAAACCCTGTACCTGGCCACTACTTGAGTCAGGGTTGACTTGATGACAGTGGACTTGTTTCTGGTTTTGCAGCCATCCCTGCCCCTCGGGCTCATTGCCCAGGCTGGATTTCAGCCCCTGTTCATCTATCTGCAACCTTTGTAAGCACAGGCCTTGGGAGACAGGCTGATCTGGAAGGTGGGAATTCAGCTGGAGAGACATCAGTTGAACTCTTCAGATTAATCTTCATAGAGGCATTGGAAGAAGCCAGAAGTTGTAGAGTAACAACACGCGTGTCTGTTAGTGTGCTAACTGTGCCCTCACTGTCTTACCCACAACAATTGGTAAGTCCCGTCAAGTCCAATCCAGTTCATAGAGACCCTAGGTATAACAGAATGAAACAGAATGTGCGGTCCTGACAGTTATGTTTGAGCCCATTTTTGCAATCACTGTGTAAATTCATCTCATCGAAGGCCTTCCTCTTTTTCACTGCCCTTTACTAAGCATGATATCCTTTTCCAGCGACTGGTCTCTCCTGACAACATGTCCAAAGTATGTGAAGCTAAATCTCACCATCCTCGCTTCTAAGGAGTTTTCTGGCTGTATTTCTTCCGAGATAATTTGGTGGTTGTCATGGCAGTCCAAGGTACTTTCAGCAGTCTTCACCATAATTCAAATGCATTGATTCT